TAACGTTAAAGTTATATTTTAGATCAAAGAATAATTTTTTTTCTGATACTCTTCTGATTTTTTTATTTATTTTTCTTTCAATTGGCGTTTTTTATTTTTTATGACAGCATTTTTTAGAGGAGCGTTAATCTTTTACGGTTACTTTTTTCTTAAAATACGGCAATGTGAAAAAGTTAAAGTTAAGATTTTTAGTGTTGAGTCTTTCCTTTAAAAATTAAGAACGATTTTTGTTTTTATTATGACGCGGCAATTAAAATAGTTTCTATTAGAATTCAATTCTGAAATGTTTAGCTTTAAAATTTTCTTTCAAAAATTCAGATAGATTTTTGTTTTACTTTTGTATATAATCTTTGTGTTTTTTTTTAATAGGCGTTTTTATGATAACGCTGCATTTTTAAAAGCGTTTCTGATGAACATTATCTCTTTTAATGTTTTATAGACAATTTTTTTTACCGGATAATATTATTTTTAGCGTTAAAGTTTTGTTTTGGGAATTAAGAGGTAATTTTTTTTCTATTTCTACTTTATTTTTTAATAGCTGTTAGTCAGTTTTTTTCATCTGAATACAGCTAAATTTTAATTATTTTTTAATAATGACTAAACTTATATTCATATAAAAATTATTTATAAATATTTTTCAGAAAGAATGTTGCTATTCGACCTACTCAATTCGTTACATCCCTAGTTTTTATTTACTAATATCATGCTTTATCAATATATATCACAAGGGTAAATTTTACTACCGTTTAGCAGTAGTTGCACAAATAAAAAAGAGTTCTCATGCAAACCACGTTCTCGTTGCAATCTATGGAAAAGAGGAGCTTTTCTGCCAGCTGTCTTTTACGAAAAGGTAGCACGTGTTTGGTCAGATAGTGCAACGTGGTAAGTCTAGCCGGTCACTTACTGCCATATCAAAGCGTGCTTTTTTTTTTTCCCTGTCCTGCTGAGTGTTTTTAAAATGAAACGACGAGACTCTCCCTCTATAAACTTTACAGTAAGACGAAATTCGAACATAATCTTAAACATTATTGTAAATTTAATGTAACAGACATTTTTTTTATGATCCTTTTTTTTTTCTTTGAAACTTTTTTCTGTATGACCCAGATGAAAATGTTCTCATAATTAAAATAACTTTTAATACTAGTACTGTTATAGGCATGTTTTTATTAAATTCAAGTTGAAATTTAAACATGGACAATGATTTTTATGAATTTTGAAATTTGGATACAATTTTCAACCCAAAATTTTACAATAGCAGAATTGTTTTTGAATATATATGGGGGGAAATATATAGAAATTTAATGGTCAAAAAAGATTTTTATATGTAGTGGCAATTTTTGAAAATATTTTCTTACATGACCATATTTTTGTGTTGATTTTTTACTATAATTTTTAATTTTCACAAATTATGACTAAATTTTCACAAAATTAGTATCTTTAAAAAAAATCTAGACAGACCCCTGTGTTCGTGTGTGTGTAATATTGAGTTCTTCGGTATACTAATCCTTTAACTTTACACATAAACGTAATAAAACATAAAAATGTTAGTTGAAAGTTTTCATCTATTTTAATAAAGGATTAAAAAATTTTTGATAAAGCATTGAAATTTTTTTATAAGCATTACAAGTGTAATTTTCAACTTCTGTATTCCTGTTTATAGTTCTTTTTATGTACTATTTAGTTTCAGTTAAAAATAAAATTTAAAACAGTAGAAAAATTAGTAGCTTTGTAAATTTATTTTGAAAACACACTGAAAGTGTCACACACACATGTTTACCAAACACGTAAAACGGAGACTGTTAATACACTGTCGATCGGGGATGTTATGAAGGAGTTATGCGATTTGAATAAAATTTTGAACCTTGTAACTAAATACCACTCTGATGAAATATTTGACTTAAAATTTTAAAAACTAATTTTTTCTCAAAGTGAAACTATTTTACTATTTACGTAATATATAGTCACCATGAATTAAAATATTAATCTTAGGTTAAAGAAAGTTACTTGAAATTTTTAATCCCTCCTAAAATTTAGCCAAAAATGCTTAAAATAAACTTGTAATTAAAGTTTATCTTCTAAATTTCAATCTTTTAAAGAACATGTTAGCTTTAAAAAGTTTTAAAAATGCTTAAAATTTTTAAACTAAAAGTTTTGTAACTAAGCTTAATATTGCACATTTCAAAGCGTGAAATGAAGCGGGGGAAAAAAAATCAGTCCAAAATATTAATTAGTGACTAAATAAAGAGTAATCTAAGAATCATATCTCCATTGTTTAATATAGGGAACGAGTAAAGTAGAATCTAACTTCAATGCACCCTTCATACCACTAGCAATAAAAAAGTTAATATCATTATTTATTATTGGAAACTAATTTAATATATGAAAGTTTTTTTTTTTAATCTAACTCAAAACCTTAAGGAATTGTAAAGACAGATCCACTTAAATTATTTTTATCTGAACAAGCTAGATACATAATAAATTTTAGAATTCCTTGTATTTAAATAAATATGTGTGAAATTAACTGGGTGTAACAGAAATATATTTACTGATAGTAATTATTATTTTAAATATACTAATTATTATTAAAATATTAAAATGATATTAAACGAATAATGAAAAAGTTATAATTCAAAAGTTACATTGTAATCTTTATTTAAGCTCTAAAAAAATAGATATTTCGTTCCTTAATTTATCATTTCATTCTATTAATGAAACATTTATTATCAATGAAGTTTGATATCAATGATTTATTGTTAACGTTTTTGTGAACACTAAGCGCTTTTGTTACTTAAATTTAGTTATATTTTTCACTATTAAAAGTATCTTTCAGAATGGTATTAGTGAGAATTGACGCAGATAGCTCAAAAAAATTCTGCTACAGGGCACATTGATTATCCCGTACTGTATAAATAATATTTTCTGCATAAATCAGGCTTTTTAGTAGGCAAAAGAAGAAAAAAATCTGAACATTTTTCGAAAAATTAGGACACTATACATAGATGATATTATATACATAGCAGTTTCTAGGGTTGGCGAGCAATAGTGAGAAAAGGGCCATGCCCCTAATGTTATTCAAATAAGAGAACATTAGTTTATGAGTTATTTATTGTCAAAGTTGAAGAATTTTTATGGCGCCTATTCATTTTTTCAATGGACAACTAAACATTTTTATTGCATTTTATTTAATATAGTTTAGTAAAAATATTAGCAGGAGAATCATGACTTTTTTTAGGTTACGTACTCTGACGAGAAACAATGATAAAATGCTAGCGAATATCGAAATTGAAAATGTATACGTAACCAATCGTTTTGATTTCAGACGAAGAATTATGAATTTAAAAAATAAATAAATAACAAAATAAATAAATAACAAAATAAATAAAAATCATCTGTTTTCCCGATCCTTTCATAATAAAGAAAAGGTTGAACATTTGCTTAAAAGCAAACCTCTGATGAACATTAATGCTTTAAATTTAACTGAAAGCAAAAGGTAGTCATTGTAAAGATGAACAATAGAGTTTTCAAACTTTAATTATCAATGCTTTCAATTCTCCCAGATTCCAATTAAAAAATATATCTTCTCATGATTTAATTATTTTCCTTCAGATATCTGTTCTTTTTGGAAAATTAAAGAAAAGAAAAACGTTAAAAGATAACTTTATTTTTTTTAAAATCAATGCTTATAGTGACAACTTGTGGTTTTTTGAGAAAAAAAAAAAAAAAAAANAAAGTCAGAAAAAAAAAAGAGAGAGAGAGAGAGAGAGGGAGGGGCCATAGGTGGCAGTCAACATTTAGGAAGGGGACGATCAGTGGCTATCAGCATCCAGAGGGGCGATAGGCCGAATAATGTTGGGTAATTGTTTTAATAGACAGCAGTTCTAGACAGTAATGTCTAGACAGTAATTTCAGTCTTTTATAAATTTTTGAGGAGTGAATTTTAATATAAAGGAGTGAACTTCAAAACTGATTGTTAATTACTGCCGTTTTCTAACACGAATTATATTAAAACAAACATTAATTGTACAAAATAAATGCCTTAAATTTATTGATTGAATATTTAATCCAAAAAATTAGTTAGCACGTTATTTACAATTTTTTTGTTCTATTTTCAGGAAAAGTTGAACGAGTTTCTAGAAGATCAATAAAATACATTATTTTTTTTATGTTTTTTTATAATATATTTTAACAATTTTACAGTATATTCAAAATTAATATCACAACTGAATTATGAAAATTTCCTTGAGTAGGATAATGTTGGGTTGAATAGGAAAGGGATATGTCTAACGTAAACGGTACCCCAACAATGCCAAACATGGAAGGAATGCCAAAAATACCAAATATGGATGGATGAGGAAAAAACATGCTTACTGATTTTCAAAGCGATTGACTTTCTTTTAACATTATAAAATAACAAAAAATCCTGAAGTTCTTTATTCATCAATACTTTTTTTAAACTGATGTAGCTGTGTAACTTATTTTTTTAAAATTGTCCTTTTGAATAATAAAAAAAATTTTTTTTTCGTAAATTAAGTATGAACCCTGTCTTATGATACTGGTTTGAAAGAAGAATAATTTACACTATGTAAGATTACAATCTACATGAACCGCAGACCATTATTTTCCACACTATTTTGAAATTCGGTTATTTCTTATTTTTTTGTATCTTTTAAAACTATCTTTAAGATTGATTTACTATCTCCAGGGCAATCCAAAATTATATACACGTTATGGTTTGCAAATTTTTGTAAACTAGTTTTATAAATAAGCTCTAAAAGTGTAAGGTTTGTGCAATAATTATCAACTTTCGATCACCCAGACTAGTTGCTGATGTCATCATGATGTCTTGTAATTCACCTGGTTTGTGTGTTTTTATTAAGACATGTATTTTTTCTATGAATCCTTGGTCATTACTTAAATAATTTCAGTTCAAGAAACGCTCTTTTTTAAGTGATTGATTTGAATTTTATCCAAATACATAAATATGTATGTTATTTTTATAGGTTAGGAAACAGACCAATTTCTCCTAAAAGTTTATTAGAACAAGAGAAGAGGATAAGAAGAGAAATTGCTAACAGTAATGAAAGACGCAGAATGCAAAGTATAAATGCGGGCTTTCAATCTCTTCGTGCTTTACTGCCTCATCGTGAAGGTGAAAAACTAAGCAAGGCAAGTTCTTTATTTCAAAAATCATTTTGTTATTTAATAGTTTTTTCCTTTAAAAAACATTTTACCCCAGTAGTAGAATTCACGGAGTGAATCTGCAACACTATCTTCGTAAATCCAAATTTATCTGTGATCTCAACACACTCAGACAAATTTTAAAAATTCTGCGTAATCTAACAAGTAAAAAAATTGGCAAACATAAGGTCCTTGAATATTACGCATAAAAATTTTCTTTAAATTTAAGTTGAATTCATACAATGATAATAAAAAAAAAATGGGATAAATCCCAACATAGTTAAAGGGGAAAAAATGCTGTAGTAATCAACAGCAACCATTGCCGTACTTTAGGGTTTCTGCTACCACACATTTAAACAAGATAAGAAAAAAATTCAGAGAATTGTCGGGAAAAAACGTCATTTTATCCCAAAACTGGGAATTGTTAGGGAATTTTACACCCTATCTAATTGCAAGATTTCACTTTTCTGTTTACAACCGTAATTAGAGCTTGTGCAGTAGAGGATTTAAAAAAAAAACAGACTTTTTTTTCCGGTCTGATCATCTTAAAGTGTAATAACAAGATTCTGTTATTCTTAACCGTTTCTGAAGTGTTGTCAATTGGATATCCCAGTTAAGTAACTTGAAACTTCTTCCTTGAAAGTATTGACATGCAAGATTTTTTTCTAATACACTTATGCTTCTCAATTTTCATTATCCCTTAGTTGTTATGACAAATTAGTGTTTTATAATTTTGAATAATACATTAATTATTAGAAACAAAACGTTTTTTTTTTATCATCTACTATGTTTATTTATTTTATATCGATCAGAGAAACACTATTTTTTTTTAATTGAATGAATTCTGATTCCTCAGAGGTGGTGGTATCATTAGCAAGTCTTTTGCCTGATGTGAATCACATCTGCTTTCGTTAGAAATCGTCTGCTTTTATAATATTTTTTTTTATTTGGTAAAAAAAATAAAAGTAGAATGCTTATACATAAGCATTAGATTAATTATTTATTACTGAAAGCAGGCAGTATTTTTAGCTTTCTTATTTTACAAGTGATACATTTCTGATTCCACTTCGTTTTGAGTTCGTTTTTTTCTCCTCTTTTTTTTCCGTTGCAATACATTTCGTACTAGCTAAATTAATTCTTCCTATTCATGAATTTCATAATATTTTTTTTTTTAATAATTATTAATTCAGTTGATCACATATCTGCGGCTCCTGGTTTCTAAATTTAAGTTAGCATTTCGTTTCTGTCTGGAAATGGTAATTCTGTTTTTATTTAATTTGATTAATAGGTTATTGTATTTCACAGTTTTCTATTTTTCTCTTTAAGTAGGTAGGAAATATATTGCTTTTTTTAATCATTAATTTGTTTTATATTAGTTAATTTGGGTGATTTTAAGTTATCTTTAGTTAATTATAATTTGGTTTTATCTAATTTATTATAATTTGGCTGACTACAATAATTCTTTTTGATATTTTTTTTATTGATTTCACGTTTTACCATTGTCCTTTAAATTTTTCTATTTATTTATCTATCTATTTATGATTCTATTTTTAAACGTTTTTCTGTTGATTTAAATTTAATTAAATGCAGATTATTTGTATAATATTTTTATTAATGTATTTTTTAAATTTTTTTTAGGATGACTTAGTTTTTGAAAAGTTGTTCTTTTATTTTATGAAGTTCTCCCTCCATTTTTCGTTATCGAGCAGCTGTGTATTATATTTTAGGATAATTTAATTAAACGTTTTTGTCGTTTGTTTATTTATCTTTTTACTTTTGCTTGTCTGTTGATAAAAAGCATTATTTTTTAGTTATTTATTCTATTTGATTTAATTTAATAAATATGGCTTGCTTTTAATTAAATAAATCTTTCACAAATACATCTCATGTAGATCTTTTAGATAGATTTGACCTAAAAAATCAACTCTTAACTTGCCAAAATCATAAATGAATTTAAAAATAGAAAATTTGTAAAAAAATATAAATATGGGTAAATCTTTAATCCTAAAGCATTGGAGATTTAAACAAAGGAATGCTATAGAAAAAATAGTTATTCACATTAAAAAAAAAAAAAAATCAGGAAAGATGGAAAAAGATTGATTTCCAAGCAGCAAATGACGAAATTCAGGAAAAAATTGGCTAATTACAAAAAATCGCCAGAACTTTGCTCAAAATCAGATTAGTGGAAGATTGATAAAAAATCGTTAAAATAATAATAAAAGTGAACATATTGACAAATTGATTTTTTAAAAATTGTATTTGTACTTAACTATAGAATTATTTATTGCAACTCCCTTCTATAAAATTCTTCCGGCCTTTTTACATATTTAACAATGTGGATATGGTATAAAAATTCTTTAGTTCTCAATGCTTTTATTTAATAATTTACATTTATCGGTAAATATTTATTATTATATGTTATACAGTAAGTGCAATATAGTCAATTTTAGGATATATATTGTTCATTTAATTTTCAAACTATTGTTTATATTTTTCTGGAGTTCAATTACGCAAAGTAAAACTTAATTAATAGTGTCGGGTGTTCTCATACCCACAAAATGTCACCAACACGTGTGATAACAAAATTATGCAATATAGCTTATTTTTTTTGGGCCCTGTCTGAAAATAAAACAAAAATCAAGTTGCGTCAAATCAAATGTGCTAGATTTAAAAAAAAAAAAAAAAAAAGAATTGGAAAATGATTTTTTAATTCAGAAATAAACCTTTATTTGTACCATATGAATTAGTTCGGTTTAAAGTAATGTAGTCTCATAAACATTCTTTTCAAGGGATTTGATAAATTTATGAATCACACTTTTCTTGTTCGAAAAATTTATTCTCCCATTTGTGAAATGCTAGTAACTGGTTTTCATTTGTTTTCAAGTTAAGAAAAATGTTGTATTAACTTCCTTTATGATTTTGTTTTACAATTCTCTGAATGCATGTTAACAATATACTTCATTTTCAAAATTATTTTGAAATGAAACCAAATGAAACCATTTTGAATGAATATAAAATTCCAATTAAATTAAGTTACTCACATTTAAAACTCCTTTTGAATTGGCATAGTGTTGTTTTCAGCAAAAGAAAAAAATGTTTGCTAATCATTATTGCCTTTGATGTCATTCTAAACAATATATTATCCTGTGTCCTCAGTCATTGTTGTTTGTTTCTGTTGGTAGTTTTTCTTACTGATTTATAATGAATTAGATGGAGAATTCGAAAACACTTCACTGTCATAGTTATAAATATTTTATTATTAAAATTCTAAATTTAACACATTGTAATTTACTTTTTTTTTTTATTTGCCATGAAAATATTTTTTTATGCCATACTCGGATTAGTATAATTTTGTGTAGAGTAAGAAACTCACTTTTAATAAATTTTGATTTAATGATCATTATTTTCATGTTAGAGGATTATGGTTTAAAGGTCTAACCTTAAATACGCTAATTAATTAGTTAAGAAAATATTTTCAGTTACAAAATCAGACACAAAAACTTTCTTTCTCTAAACAAATGTAACTTGTTGGATGTATATGTATTTTTAACCCTCAAAATAGATGTTACAGCATCTGGAAAATATGGTCATACAGTCAAGCCCTGATTTAATGAGAACCCAGTTTCAATGAAGGAGAAAATATTTGGTTATTACAATTTTAAGTCTATTGGAGTTTATCTTGCTTTTAACATGCAAACCCCAGTTTTAGCAAACTTTATTTTTGTGATTCTTAAAATTTATACTTATTTCCATATCTCTAGCCCACCTTACCACTTAAAAAATTTCTTTAATATTTGTAAGACAACTGAAGATTAGTATTGTGATATATATCCAGTGAACACAAGAATCCTTTTCAAAAGCAAGGGTGCAAATGCTGTTTTTCTGTGTCAAATGAAGTCTTATCCGAAGAACAATAGCGCAATAAGAAGACAAAAACAGTTCATAGCAAATTAACTAAGTATAATATATAGAATTTATAAAGTATTTTAGAATTTTTTCCCCCCTATTCCCATTCTTTACAACCACTTGGTTATAATGAGCAAATATTATGGTCCCTTAGTTATTGTTATAAGCAAGTTTGATTATTATAGTTTAAGCAGGAGAGGGGTTGAGATTCTGAGCCTCTAATGTTAATTTCACTAGCACACAATCCTCAATGAAATCCTATTTTTAACTTTTAGAGTGATTCACTCCAAATTATAGAATTTATCATTTAAAATTATGTAGATTAAATTGGTGTAAACTTTTACTTTAAAATTCAAAATTTTTTGACCATTAATGAATTAAACAATAAAAATTATAAAAAATAATTTTTTACATGAAATTATGTGGATAAACAAGTTTTACTTGTGTGTAAAAATGCCTTGATTTGCTTCATTAGTTCCAGAGATTTGGTGAAATACGCAAAAAGAAAAATTAACAATAATGGACCTTAATTTATCATCACTCTCCTGTCTCAGCTATTGTAACCATTATTTCCTTATTACAGTTAAGGATCGAAATCAGTAAAAAAAAAAGGGGGGGTAGGTATGTTGATTTAGAGAAAGTACGTGTTTATGCCTGATTTTGTTACTTAAAATATTGTTTGCACAAATTAATTTGCATATTTAAGGTTAGACCATCTAACAATTAAGATTTAGTTCTAGTAATGAAAATATGATCATTAGATCAAAAGTTATTAAGGTTTGCTTTTTTTCTTCACACCGTACAGCTGAGGGAAAAGGGTTTCATTTGTCATACAGATAATTTAAAAATAATTGAGAAATCTTTTATGTCTTAAGAGTTATTTTATTTAATTGTAATATTTTGTGGATTAAACTGTTATTTCAGGCAGCAATACTTCAGAGTACAGCTGATTATGTATTTCAATTGGAACAAGAGAAGGCTAGACTCTTAGAACAAAACAGCCAGTTTTCACGAAGATTGCTTCACTCTCCATCTAATATTCAAGACAGTGATGGTAGTTGTTCTGGATCTCCTTTACCAAAAAGGAAAAAACGAGAGCCTGGCAAGTTTTTGTTTACTATTTTATTTACTTGTATGTATGTATAGGGAATGTTTACACATGGCCTTATGAGGTCACATGTAAATTGCCAAGTGTGTGTTCTTAACCATTTATAACCACATTTTTGCGACTGTTAGATGCTCATTCCTCCTTTCCAAAACATATACAGCAGAGGTGCCAACTATTATGATTTCATAGTCAAGATTATGATTAGCTAAGTAATAAAAATAATTGTTTTTAGAATTTCCATAATTTATTTAAAATTTTTTCTACTCTTTAAAGATTTTTAAATACAACGAATAAAATACAACCAATTTGATTGAAAGAAGATGTTTTAGAAAAAAGCAAAGAAATTTCATTTTTCCTTTTCCAGCAAGCTATTCTGAAACTTAATCTTCTTGCCTTTTAGAAGAATAAAAGAGTGTAAACTTATCTGAAATGCTGTGAGTAAAATTTTTTATTGGTTCTAGTGCATGATGATAAAAATGTTTGTTTATATTTTGAGGACATTGAACAACGACATTTATTCATATCGGGGCTGTTTTGCCTCTGTATTTTAGTATAGATTTTTTGATGTTCCAGCCAATATTTCATTAATTATGTCAAAATTTGAAAAACCATGTAGAAATCACCGAAGAACAATCGAAAAAATGTGTTTTTATGACTGTCTCGCTGAAAGCGTAGCTCGTAAAACTGACTTCAAAATTCAGGCATCATGATATATTGAACGCATCAAAATCAGAAAAATTGTGGAAATTGAGGAAAAAACAAAATGGAACTGTAGAAAAAGTTATTCAAAAACAGCATGGATGTATGGTGTGAATAGAGGGCATCAAAAAAGGGTTTCTCATATTTGAAACTTGCGTGCACTTATAACAACTTATTAAAAACATCGTAATTTGAAGAAGAAAAAAAACTATATGAACTAAAGTTCGCAAATTATAATTATATTTATAATATCGAAATTTAGAAGGGAAAAATAACACTGGATATGGTTGGGGGGCAATTCGATGATCAAACAACGTAGTTCTTAATAGAATTGTTGCGAACTAAGCACGTCTAAAATGGATAACTGAAATTAAAATTTGCTGGTGTATGTACGATGGAATCGTTGAGAACTCAATGTGCCAAAACATAATTACACAAATTTGAAATCCGACAATTGTATAAACATTATACTAAAATTATCGGAATTTGAAAGGGAAAAAAAGACACGTTTTTATAAATAATGGTTCAGATTTGTTTTGGAAGGAAAAAATTTTTGTAATACAAGTTATAAAAAACTTTATTCGTCTTCTCGTGACATCTTTTAATTATAAGATGGTCTTAAGTAAAGAGGAAAATTTTAAATAGTTAGATAATATTCTAAATGAGTGATGCAACGGATTTTAATTTGGCCGGATACCGGATATTTAGAATCTAAATCGGTTTTTGCTATTACATTTTTCAATAACTATTCGACCGATTGCCCTCAAATTTTGTATATTGCCATTTAAAATTGCATACCTTACGAGTCAAAATTTTTTTGACTATTTTTAAATAAAATAATAAAAAATAAATATTTACTAAAAGTAATATTTTGCGTGAAATTATCCTAGGAGAATTTTATAATTCTAAATAATTGTATAATTGTATGCAAAAAATTTTCATTTCGCTTAAAAACTTCTTGAGATATAGTGAAAGACGCAAAAAGGTAAAATTAACACTAAGGGGTCCAAACTTTGTACAGCTCTCCTGATTAAACTATTGAGACCATATTTTCCAGATTGTGGCTACCCCCCATATTTAAGGTATAGGAAAGTACATTTTTGTGTCAGATTTTGTAACTTAATATCTTCTGCATCAATTAATTAGCATATTTGAGGTCAACCTCTCGAACCATTAAAATTGAGTCCTAAAATGTGAAGATCCAATCATGAGATCAAAAGTTATTCAGCGTTTTTATTTTTTGCTTGACCACTACATGAAACTAAGGATAATACAGTTTTGAAACTTTCTTAGCACTCTATTATCCTTATAACAATTGAATAATGTAGAGTGCTTCAGAAAAGCCTGTTGTAAACATTTCACTCAATAAAAGTTGCAGTATTTCTGGTTAGTACTCTATAGATATTTCTATAAATAAAGAAACATTGGTAAAGAAGTAAAATGCTATTAAAAAAGTCATGAAAATGTTTTGAGGGGTCCTGATTTTTTTCCGGGAACCTAGTAGATACCCTGTATAAGCATATTTAAGATGCTCTCCTAAAACTATTCAGATAGCTCCTTCATTTGTAATATTACATTTCTTACAACAAAGTTGATGTTTTTTTTTATAGCAGATTGCATTGATGAAGGAATTGGTAGTTCTAGCCCTTCTAGAAGTGAGAATGGAGGTGATGATATGAAAAGAGAAATAATGGAATTGAGACTTCAACTTGAGCATGAGAGAACATTGAGGGTGCTTGTGGAACAACAACTTCGGAACTTAGAATCTAGACTTTATTCTACTGATAATGAAGCAGCTGAACAGTACCATAGTGTGACTGAGGTACTTATTTTATCAATTTTCATGTTGAAATGTTTTATAATCTAATTAATATACAAAACTTCAAGAATGCTTTTTATTCCTTAAGCCATTTAAAAACATGAAAATCCTCATGATTTTCTTCAACACTATGCTGTGATCAATCTTGCCGAAACTTTTGACAAAATGATCAGCTGTATATTAAGTCATAAAATTCCTGATTCCAATTACTTTATTTGTCTCAAACTGATCTTTTTATTTCAGGATATTGACAAATGTTTGAACTTTGGTCAGGAGAGTGGACTTGGCAGTCCAATATCAAGTCAGGATGTTGAGAGTTCTCACGAAATGTCTCCAAGAGGCTCAAGTCCTGAATTATCCAATTTAGATGTTCCAGAAGATCTTTCAGGCAAAAGTAGCTCAGTTCTACTTCCAAGTGTAGATGAGTTATCAATTTCGGATAATACCATTCCAGGACTTGTACTATCATCTAGTGATATTAGCATAGAATCTTTTCCTGTAGACTTTAATATTGCCTCACAACAAACATCTTACAAAGTTAGCACATCTAGGCAGAATCTTGAAACAATAGTTGAAGCAATTAGACATGTAGAAGGGGATCACATGTTTAGAGATGACCCTACACCAGAATTATTGGACTTAGTCAATGAAAGTCAAATAATGTTAAATCACAAACCAGATCAAACTTCTATGATTTCATTTCAACATCATATAATAAAAAAAGCTCCTCTCATTCAATCTCGACCTGGAGTGATAGTCTCCAATCTCTCTTAAACATTTCATTTTGGCATTTTCATACCTGTATAAATTATCCATTTTTCATTGAGGTGTGCCCATACATGAGTGTATAGTAAAATTGTAACACTGTTTTTTATGAGACACTTGAAAACTTTTGCATTTTATATAAAAAAAAATTTTAAAGATTGTTTGTATATTTAAAATGTACTATAAGGAATTTTGTTGTATGATAATTATTCTTATTGTTAGAATTGGTTTTAAACTGCATGTTATAATTAAAAAATTTATTTGCCAAAAAATCAGTGCTTTTAACTATAAATGGTCTCGAAATTTTATAATTTTTTATCGGATTAATAAGTTTTTTAAAGTTGCTTAGATTCTAGTTCTTATTTATAGAACGTCTGGATCACTTTAATTTGAATAATATTTTTAACCTTGTGTGCTGTAAATCTGTAACTAATTTTAAAATGAAGGAGATGAGTAGAACATTTTTTAAGAAAATTTTTTCTTGTTTGTGTAATTATGTAATATTGTTTTTTTTTTTTTACACATCATACCTCATATATTTATTTACACAAATGTATTAATCCATTAAGCTTAAGAAATTACTCTGTCTTTATATATAATATATAATATTTCAAAATGCAAGTTTAATCCATTATATATCAATCTAATAATTGTGTAAATAATCAAAAAGATACTATGTAATATAATTTTTTTCCTGATCTTTGTAATTATAACAACCTTTTTCCATTTAATTTCATACTTTGAAAAAAAAAAATTCCCACAACAGCCAGTTATGAGCAAGTAATGTCTTGAGGCTCCACAATTTTGCTACCAGTTGCATGAGGGCGACAATGTTGTGAGCAGTAATCGCCATTACTTCTCATACAAGCTGGTATCCATTGATTTGAAGCTGGATGAATGTCAGGCCACCACATGGAATAGAACTCCAGTGCTTTAAAATGACAGCTCAGTGCTTTTGTTTCATTTATTTATCTGTAGTAACTGATTTACTAAATTTCTTATGTCATCAAACTTACATTGCCGTTATATTCAGTTTATTTTTTATGGTGGCATAATACCTTCTATAGACTAATTTTAAATAAATTGTCAAACTTTGTTTATTGTCAAGCTTTGTTGTTAACCCTAAACTATTTGAATTTTGTTTCTTAATTAAAAGAAACATTATTATTGATAATTTAAAGATACATGTAGTTTTTATCGGAGCCTGAAAATCATATTGCATGTGTCATGTAAAAAATCGTCGCATGCTTTTTTTAACATTACGTGCTTGACCAGGCATGTAAATATCAATTTAGCACCTCCTGTTTTAACAGAAACATGAAAATGCCAGATAGGACTCAAAAGGGTAGAGGAAGAAAGGGAAAAGATTTTAATGTTATGTAATATAACAATGAAAAAGAATTCATCAAACAAAAGTAGCTTTTTTTTTTTTTACTTTCCTAGTTTTTCTTATTTTTCTTTTAAAATAAAGCACCCCATTTTCTGTTCCATAAAAAAATAAATACTTCTGATAATATCCTTTGTTAAATTTATAACTCTGCATTTACTCAGTCAATGCTAATTCATGCAAAATAGTCAATGAACAATACAATAACACTCAATACATCATTGTTAAGAATACTTAATTCTTTTGATTTATACTTAAAATATCAGTGTTATTGTAGATATGTTATTAGTGTCATTTTTTCCCAAAATGAATTATAGATGATTCATAGCTTTTTAATAGATGTTTTGTTTTTACATTCATAGGTTTTTATTAAAGATGTTTAAGCACACAAAAATTTAAGATTTTACTAGCCTTGACCTTCATGCAATGTTGCATAATTCGCATAGCACAATTTTTCATTTCTTCTTTTTTTTAAGTACATCATATGAAATATGTTGGTCCTGATTATTAAAAATTTTGCTTCTCAATGCATGTGCCAAAAAATAGCTAGCGCTAACTGATAAAACTACTTTAAAGTCAAATTAAAATAATTTAATTACTATTTTTTATTCTAATTTTTAAATAATATGGAGCAGTATCCTTAAACTGTCTAATAATTAACAGTAAATGAAATGCATAATGTTTCCTAAATTAATTATTTAGAAACTCTACTTTAGTAAACAAATCAAACTGATAAAAATTTGTAACAAATTTATAAATTTTTATTTTAAAAAAAAAGGTTATCTTTTAAGACACTTACTTTAAGATTTGAATGAAAGAGAAGTTCAACTGCACATTTATTTACTTTAGGGATGCACAGCCTGATGTTTGGCCCACAGGAGCTTGTAAACACATGGAAAAGATTATTATTATTTCCCTCAATATTTTAACTATGATAATATTACTACCAGAATTGTGTATTTGAGTATTTAAACTTTTATAAAGCTATAAAAATTTAATATTTATTATTCAATGATCAACACAAGTTACATAGCAATGATTATGTTGAATTTTCTGCATCACAAAATATGTTGTGATACTGCTTTAAAAAGCTTGTATGAATTCTGATTTTGCTAATAGTATTTTTCAGAGGTGCAGAATATGTCCGATTGCGCAAACTTGGTTCGGACGAAACTCAGGCAGCCAAGGGAAATCATCAGTCTAATTAAATAATAAAATTGCAAAAAAGTTTTTTTGTTGTAAATAAATAATGTATACCTTTATAAAATTTTTCCAGTTAATTCAAGAATTGTATTTTACAGTTAAAAAAAGAAATTATTATACAAAATTTTTAACAATCTACAAACTTTACTTTCGAAAAACTATTTTGGAACATTTATTGTAACTAAAAAAATGCACTATAATTATTGTGGAAATTTAAAATCGAATAAATTGATTTAGGGAAACATTATGCTCTGAAAATATTCTACACCTCTGATATTTTTTAGTACTAACAAGCTTTGCTACTGAAATTTATGCTGTCTGATACATTTAATACCTTATTTCCACTTGTAAGTTATGAATCAGCCATTTAATTGACCACTGTTTAACACACTTTCTTTGTGCCGATTTTATCAAAAATCTAAATGATTTTTTATGCAGTTATTTCTACAGTTTTCCATTTGGATTTGAAAATTCCCCATTTTTACTGTGATATGACGGCACAAGTGTTTCAATCTGCACATTTAAATAATCACTTTTTGACAAACTTTATTTGTGCCAATTTCATTTTAAATCCGAGTTGTTTTTCAACCATTTTTTGAGTAGTTATTGTTGTGAATTTCCACATGGTTTTAAAAATACTGATATTTTTATTACAACATGCAAATTTTAAATAATTACTTATTAATGCACTTTATTCATGCTGATTTGAGGATAAATTTAACTGTTTCATTATAAACTTTTTTTTGCAATTTCTGTGCTTTTCCATGTAATTTTGACGATCCTTAATCACCAAATAATACCAAATCAATATTGAATCTTATTTTGTACTATAATAGTTTTATTAAAATGTTTGGTTTTTGTTTGAACTGCATAAATTTCTTCAAATGAAATATTTAATGTGAATTTTCATTACTCATTGAAATATGTGATTAATTTTTCTTATATACTTTCATACTGTGAGTGTAGCAGTTTTTTTGTTGTTAAGAGTTTATTTTTAAATGAACTTTTGCATTGTTTGATGTGATAAAAAAGTAACCCATTTCTTTTCCGCATTGTTTCTATTTTTTAATAAATCTATTTTTGATAAAAAGAAATTTTTTTAAAAAAATTATCAGTTTTTTTCATTTTTAAATAAATTCTAATAAAAGTATTTAATTCTCTACAAATATATTACTTAGTTTACTGATAAAAGAAATTAGCACTTAGTGCACTATTGTTTAACTAAAAATTACCATATTTGTTATCACTGTTTCTAAATTTGTGTGCAACCCTTCTTCGTTAGTCAACCTGCTGTGCAAGTGGCTCTAAACTCGAAAGATTGTGCAACCCTTTAATAACCCTCTAAGGAAATAGATTTAATGCCTTAGTGCATAAACAAAATCAAAAGTTTCAAAACTAAGAAATTCATATTCTAGTCTCAGAATTTGGTCTGCCACCTTAATTTTATCACAAACACTTACACAATTGTTTTAAACAATGCATTAATTTCTTTGATGCAGTCAGGGTTTAATCCATTTAAAAAAAGAAGAAAAACTTTGAAGTAAATATTAAGAAGATAATCATATTAGAAATATCTTTCATTTCAGATTTGATTGAGAAATTTGATTTGATAAGACAAAAAGATCACTTAATACATGTGATTTTTCTTCCAAGTGTCAAAGAATTAATTTTATAGTCATGTTATTATTTTTAAATATTTGGACAGAGCAAATGAGATCTAAGTGTCCCATGGATACATAAAGCACATTTTAGTTCTGTTTGCTTGCCATTTCGTATAATTAAAATTTTAAGAGCACAAATTGAATACTTGATTATCTGAACTGTGTGTAGCATTAGGTACAGTGGAACAGTATAAAACATATAGTATATTAGTTATCTTTCTGTTTAACAGCAATCTTAAAACATTACTTTTGTACCTCATTTTTTTAAAAAGAAAATGGTGTAGAGTTTCCAGACAAGTCGAGATACTTTTTGTCAGTAAAAAGTCTAATGATTGTATTTAGAGATACAACAACTGTCCCCTTCATAAAGTATCTCATTCCTGTGCCATCTTCTTTCATGTTTGAATTTTTCAAAACAAATTTTTGAGTATCAAGTGATTCGTTACATGAAAACGTAGAAGAATCTTGGATGCATGATCTATTCTAGAAATATTTGTGTAGTTCAATATAAAGTGAATTTTCCCTTTTGAAATGTAGATAACTTATTTGTTATTCATGTGGAATAATTAATTTAAAATCAAAATATAGATTTACCTTGTGACTGGTTATTTTTTTTAATAACATCCCACAGTTTAAAACATATATCAGGCAAATAAAATAGCTCATTTATTCTTAAAGGAGCATTCGTACTGCACGTGCAAAGGTTTAGAAACTGTATGGTTAACTGCTCCCGCATGCGCAAATTGTAGTGGTGTACAGTCACATGTGGTGAAAATACTCCAGAAAAATTTTGCTCAGCTGGTTAAACACAATTCAAGGTTCTCCTGTATAAAATTAGTTTTATGTATAACTTTTTTATAAATTCTAGCATATGGTTTTCATTTTTCACCTGATTTGCACTGGCTGTTGTTCTTTTAAATTAGCTGTTAACCCAAAATACATATGATTAAGTCAAGTTATATGCCAAACTTCGTAAGATTCTACTGTAAAGTATTTTGTTAATTCTATTTTCTTAAGTTATTTTCTAATATTATTTTACATTACCCAGAGAAATTCTTCAATTGTAAAATAGTAGACTACTTCTGTTATGGCATTTGTAATTTTTTTAAACTAAGTATTTAAAATTTCTGTAACTGGTTTGTTTAAATAGAAAGATTGATATTTATTTAATTTTTGACAAATATTTTTAATTATTTAGGAAAATGATTAATGTGTCCACAGACAGCTAAAATTGTTTTTAGGTATGTGACATAATAGAGAATCATAATAATGTTGGTAAATTAATTGAAAATGGCTATTAATTTGCATAATCATTATCTAAACATGTATGATGGATAATTTTATGATTAAAAAATATTAACAAAATTTAAAAATACGAAAAATGTAACCTTTTACCAGTGTATGATTCATAAATTTGACATGCATTATTTTAAGCATGTTGTGAAATTTCAATTACTGAACTGCATCATGTCCATTATCTGTCTATTATCTGAACTGCATTATCTGTCACTCATAGAACTTTACACCTTTGTTTAAGGATATATTTCGTATAAATACAGAGCTGCCAACAAATTCTGTAATATTTCATTTTTATATTCAAAGTTGTAATACAGTTTATAAATTTCATTATAGTTATTGAATATTTAAATCTATTTAAAATTAATTTGATCGCCACTACGCATAAATAAATAAATCATTTATACTGATGCAAGTTATTCAAATAATAGTATGTTAAATGTTAAAGTCGGGGCAAATTAATAAAAATATTTTTATGTAAAGTTGTATTTCTATTATCTTTTCAATAGCGCTTGAAATATTCATTCTTGGAACAAGAAAAGTTGGCAGGCCTGCATACAGTATCTATGGATATAATGAAATGACATTCTATTGATGTGATATTTATTTAATAATCATGTTAAATAATAGGTGGTTTGTGTAAAAGTGTGACTTAATGAAGTTTTGTGCAAATGATATTACATGCTATTTGTATTCAATTTAAATATTCTATAACCTTTATATATTTTAATTTTGAATATCAAAATTACTTCTTCTTTATCTATTATTAAATGAAAACTCAAGATCTTTTCCCCCTATTAGACTTCAAACTATTGCCATATTTAAAATTGGTAACAAGTTTTGGTAACAAGTTACTTTTACGCATAAGAGTTTTCTACTTACTGTTGTTTTGCTGTAAATATATTCCTGTCCATGGGTATGGTGAAATTTTATTTATCATCCCTTATATAGGCTTGGTAAATGGTAATAACTAAGGGTAAATCAAAAAATGTTTTTTTTAAACTCTTTGGGCAAATTATTTATAC